CGGGGTTTCACCATGTTGACCAGGATGGTCTCGATCTCTTGACCTCGCGATCCACCCACCTCGGCCTCCCAAAGTGCTGGGATTACAGGCTTGAGCCACCGCGCCCGGCCCATCATCCCAATTTTTTTGGTTTTTTTGTTTGTTTGTTCTTGAGACAGAGTCTCCTCTGTCACCCAGGCTGGAGTGCAGTAACATGATCTCGGCACACTGAAACCTCCACCTCCCAGGTTCAAAATTCTTGTGCCTCAGCCTCGGGAGTAGCTGGATTACAGGCATGTGCCACCACACCATGTTGCCCAGGCTGATCTCAAACTTCTGACCTCAGGTAGATCCACCTGCCTCGGCCTTCCAAAGTACTGGGATTATAGGCATGAGCCACTATACCCGGCCAGTCATCCCAATATTGTACATATATATGCACCAAAATGTTAATGGTGATTATTTCTAGCAGGTTGGACGATGAGCAGTTTTTATTTTCTTTAGACTTTTATATGTCTTCCAGTATTTAGGAATTACTACCAGAATCACATCACATCAGGAAGCACACAATGTCAGGTTTTTTTCAATTGTTAGGGATGCTAAGTTTGGTCATCTAGCTAAAAGGTGTCCACCATTATAAATAATATTGCCATTAATATCCTTGTATATAAATCTCACTGTAGTTCTCTTAATTCCTTTGGATAAATTTCTGGAAATGAAATTTCTGAATGAAAGGCTTTTTAAGGGTCTCCATTATAAAGGTACCCTTTCTCCTTTGTAACTGCTAAGTAATCGCAGTGTGATACTTTGAGATCAAATGAGTATTCAGTTTCCCAATAATGTTTTACTCTTTGGAAATCGTTTTTATTAATGATCCTGGACAGAATCAGTTACTTCACTGAGAGTTACCAAAGGTAAAAAGAGGCACTTCCCCACCCACATTTTTAGTATTACTATGGTATCTTAGACTATCTGTGCTGCTGTGACAGAATGCCACAGACTAGATAATTTATAAAGAACAGAAATTTATTCCTCACAATTCCAGAAGCTGGAAGTCCAAGACCAATAACAAGGATTTGGTGTCTGGTGAGGACGGTATCTTTCCGAGGGGAGGAAGGCTGTGTCCTCAACATGACAGAACGGCAAGAGGGCTAAATGCTGTGTGAAGCCTCTTTTATTTTTCGAGACAGGGTCTTGTTTTGTCATCCAAACTGGAGTGCAGTGGCATGATCACAGTTCACTGCAGCTTTGACCTCCCAGGCTCAAGTGATTCGACTAGCTGGGTTTACAGGTGCATGCCACCACACCCAGCTAATTTAAAAAGAAATTTTTTAGAGATGGGGTCTGGCCGTGTTGCCCAGGTTAGTCTCAAACTCCTGGGCTCAAGTGATTCTTGAGCCTTGGCCTCTCAAAGTGCTGCAATTACAGGCATGAGCCACCACACCCAGCCAGGCCTCTTTTATAAAGACCTCAATTCCATTCATGAGGGAGTGGCCCTCATGGCCTAATCACCTCTTAAAGGCCTCACGTCTTAATACGATCACATTTGCCATTAAGCTTCAAGACCTGAATTTTGGATGGGACACATTTCAGCCACAGCATCTCACCCCGACACGCCCCCGCCATTTATGTCCTTCTCACATATACTCATTCCATCTTAGTAGCTCTGAAAGTCAGTCATTCCAGCAGCAACTCAAAAATCTCAAGTCCAGTCTCATCTAGAATCCTCTAAATTAGACATGGATGAGACTCAAAGGTGTGATTCATCCTGAGGCAAATTTCCCTCCAGTTGTGAGCCTGTAAAAATCAAACAAAGTACATGCTTCCAAAGTACAATGGTGGGACAGGCACAAAACGAACATTTATCTTCCAAAAGGGAGAAATACACAAAAAAAAGAAGTACTAGGTCCTCAGGAAATCTAAAATCCAACAGGGCAAACAATAATCGATAGTCAGAATTACTTCTGATTCCACATCCTGCCTTCTAGACACACTGGAGCAGGAGTTGGGCCCCCAAGGCCTTGGACAGCCCCACTCCCATGGCTTTGCCAGACAGCCACACTTCAGCTCTCACACACACTAACGTTGTATTCCTGTGGCTTTCCCAAGCTAGTGTTGCATGCTGGTGGCGCTATTGTTCCTGGGTTGCAGGGACAGCCCTATCCCCACAATGCCACCAAGCACTGCCCTGGTGAAAACTGCAGTGGCTCCACCCCTGCGGCAACTTTCTGCCTGGGCCCCAGGGCTGTCTGCAACTTCCTTTGAAATCTGGGTGGAGGTAGCCCTGCAGCCCCAGCTCACATGCACACCTGCAGAGTTAGCACCAAATGGATGCTGCCAAGGCTTACCCTTGTGCCTCTGGAGCAGTGGCCCAAGCTGCACCTGGGTCTGCCTGAGCCACAGGTGGGGTGGCTGAGAAGCACTGTGCCAGTAACAGTGGGCAGAGACAACGAGCAGTGAGCCTTGAAGTCCCATGGACACTCTGTAACCCCTACTAGAAACTTCTGCCACTAAGGCCTTGGCACTCTGAGTCTGTGATGAAAGTGGCAACTTCGAAGATCTGAAATGCCTCTGGGGTTCATTCTCCCATTGTCTTTTTTTTTTTTTTTTTTTTTTTTGAGACAGAGTTTCACTCATGTTACCCAGGCTGGAGTGCAATGGCACGATCTCGGCTCACCGCAACCTCTGCCTCCTGGGTTCAGGCAATTCTTCTGCCTCAGCCTCCTGAGTAGCTGGGATTACAGGCACGCGCCACCATGCCCAGCTAATTTTTTGTATTTTTAGTAGAGACGGGGTTTCACCATGTTGACCAGGATGGTCTCGATCTCTTGACCTCGTGATCCACCCGCCTTGGCCTCCCAAAGTGCTGGGATTACAGGCTTGAGCCACCGCGCCCGGCCTCTCCCATTGTCTTAATGAATAGCACCTGACTTTCTTCTAGCCATTCTAATCTCCTTATCAAGCAGTCACTTGGCCACACTCCTGATTTTTTCTCCTAAACATGATTTTTTATTCTTTACATGGCCAGGCTGAGAATTTTCCAAATATGTACATTCTGCTTCCCTTTTCATTACAAATTCTATCTTTGAATTGTTTCACTCTTCCTATATTTTACTAAAAGCAGTTAAGAGAAGCCATGAAGCCTCCTGAATGCTTTGCTGCTTAGAGATTTCTTCTGCCATATATCCTAGTCCACTGCTCTAAAGTCCTGCCTTCTACAAAATCCTAGGACACAGGCATAATTTAGCCAAGTTCTTTGTCACTTTGTAATAAGAATGGTCTTTCCCCCATTTCCAATACCATGTTCCTTATTTCTGTCTCACATCTTATCAGAAGGGTCTTCACTGTCACCATCACGTAAGTTACTTCTAAAAGGAAGGAGGCTTTCCCTACAGCTCTTCTCTTCTGAGCCCTCACCTGAATTGCCTTTAATGCTGTTCATGGCAATGAGACTTTTTCCAGCACTCATTTCAAAACTGTTCCAGCCTCTACCCTTTACCACGCTCCAGAGCTGCTTCCACATTTTTAAGTATTTGTTATAGCAACACCCCACTTCTGTGGTATCAATTTCTGTTGTATTCCGTCTGTGCTGCTATAACAGAATACCACAGACGGGTAACTTATAAAGAACAGAAATTTATTTCTCACAGTTCTGGAGGCTGGAAGTCCAAGATCAAGGAACCAGCATTCAGTGTCTGGTGAGGTCTGCATCCTTCAGAGGGCAGAAACAGTGTCCTCACAGGGAAGAAGGCAGAAGGGTAAGAGATCATAGCAGCTGTGGGAAGCCTTTTTTATAAGGGTCTTAATTCCAGTCACAGTCTAATCATCTCATAAAGGCCCCATCTCTTAATACTATCACATTCACCATCAAGTATGGAATGAACACATTCAAACCATAGCTTACGGACTCATGGATTTTTTTTTTTAATTCAATGTCTTATAATCCATTGCTGTTTTCCTTAATGCTCAAATTGTCCCAATGCGGCCAGTGGATTTCCTTTTAAGCCAGTTCCTGTGTCTCCATCATTCTTTGGGCATTTCCTTGCTTTCTGCAGCAACACCTGCAGCCTCAGACCTGGATCCCACCATGTATCCAAGAAGCCCTTGTTTCTTTTTGTGGGTAGTAGTATTTAGAACCCAAGATCTGGGTGCTGTGTTCATTGTTACTGTGGTGTTCCTAAGTTCTACGCCCTTTCAGAAAACAGAGCCAGAAAATTAGGAAATTGTGTGTTTGTGAGTGAGAGACAGAGAGAGAGTTTGTGTGTGTGTGTGTGTGTGTGATGAGTGCATATTGGTACCTCTAATTCAAATACAACATCACATAGTCCTTTCTGTCTTTTCCCCTACTCTATACTTGTATCACTCATCTCCCACAGTGAGAACGCTGGTTCTCCACATCAGTATAATTATTTATTCTATCCTATACTACACCTCAAATAGTTTCAGATTTTAACGCCAATTCTAGTATTGAATTGTTGTTATTAACACTATTTCAGTTAGTTTTCTATGCCCTACATGATGATGTGTCAGCCATTCATTTCCTTAAGGAATTTTTGAATTCAGAATAGCAAATGCCTTCCATCTTTGGTCCATAATTAAGAGTAATTCAGATGTCATACAGCCTTGCCCTTAGAGATCTAGATCTAATTCCCCGGCCTACATGGAGGGCCAAAGATTTCTCCCTTTTGCTTCTGCAAGATCCTGGTGACTTATTTCATTGGAAATAATTCTGAACACACTGCACCCTGGCAAGGAGACTCACAGCCTTTCAAGATTCCCCCAAATGGCCAGGCACAGTGGCTCATGCCTGTAATCCCAGCACCCTGGGAGGCCAAGGCGGGCCGATCACTTTCACCAGCCTGAACAACATAGCAAAACCCTGTCTCTACAAAAATAGAAAAATTATCTGAGCATGGTAGCATGCACTTGTAGTCCCAGCTAATCAGGAGGCTGAAGCATGAGAATCGCTTGAGCCCAGGAGGCAGAGGCTACAGTGAGTTGAGATCATGCCACTGCACTCCAAACTGGGCCACAAAGTGAGACTCTGCCTTAACAACAACAAAAAAATCCCCCTAAATAATCTCTTGTAGAGATTTCACAAACCAGGCATATTTTCTGACAACTTCCCAGGAATTATGGTAGAGGGAATAACAGTGCAAATTCACAGTTTTCACAAACACAGTAAGCATCACTAACTCAAAAGAGCCCCAGCCACACCTCATTGTGGCATTTCTTTATTGGTCTTTCAGCCCATCCCAGTATCATGCTCTCCTTCCCGCTTTTTTCTCCTCTTCCTTCCCTCTCCTTTCTCCATTTAGGATCAAAATGCACCATTCTTCTCTCTGTCAAGCAAGAGCAAGCTTTTCCTCTGAAGCTTTGTTCAAGACATTCTTAGAACAAAGACAGCCTTCTTCCTAAGAGAAATTACAGTGAATAAAATTTCCTCTGCCTTATTACACATATAAGGGTTGGGATCTTTTTAAAGCTTGGTCAGTTGGAAGAAGCTACAAAGTAGTAGCTGCAAAATTCCCTGAAGAGGTGTTTCTCCATTGGTCCAGCTAATGTCCCTCAGGGCCAGGTCACCAGATGGCTCAAGCTGCCTAGGCTCTTTCTACTTCTGGACTCCCCAGCTTCCAGAGCCACCTCCTCAAGTCCTCATGACCTCTACTATTCTCCCACCATCACAGACAACGGGACTCATCCAAATTTCCTCCAGCTAAGCAGCAACCATCCCACGCTCCCTCCCAGCACATTAGGTGGGCCAGATAAGTAGTTTCTCTAGTTCTGTGCTCTTCCAACTTATATAATTGCATTGATTATTCCTCGATTACTTCTTAGGAGAATTCAGACAGAGGCCAAGTCAGCTACTAAAACACCTATGCCCTTTGTCCTTCTGAGATGTAGTAGGAAACTACATGCCAGGGTACTTCCACATTTCATGTTACTGAGCTGCTCCCTTAAACCCGACGGGGCCTGGTTCTAGGCCCAGGTGCCCAGCAAGCCCTGTGCTCCCTTCTATCATGGCTTTTCTCTCCCAGAGCTGGTCAACTCCAGGGCTTAAAGCAAGCAAGCCAATGTCAGTACAGAGATGTGCAGTGAAGTGCTGCCCACATGGGGGTCAGGACCAACACTTAGGCCTTCTGCCATGTCATCTTGGTCAAGTTCCCTAAACTCAAGTTATTTGAACAGTAATGCAAATGGGGTGAGAATAAGGGTCTGGAGACCAGTGTACCTGGGTACATACCCTGGCTCCATTACTTGCCAATACCATATGCATGAGGCTTAACTTCTAGTCTGTCTGTTTCTTCATGTGTAAAATGGAACTTATAATAGCATCAACATCTTAGGGCTGCTTTGAGTTAATCTGATAAACTAATGTATGTAAAATGCTTACAAATGGCCTTGTTTATAGTACTTAAAAAATATTTGACATTTTAGGCTGGGCACGGTGGCTCACACCTATTTTCCCAGCAATTTGGGAGGCTGAGGTGGATTTCTTGAGACAAGGAGTTTGAGACAAGCCTGGCCAACACGGTGAAACCCAGTCTCTAGTGAAAATACAAAAAATTAGCCAGGCATGGTGGTGCACGCCTGTAATCCCAGCTACTCAGGAGGCTGAAACACGAGAATTACTTGGGAGGTAGCGGTTGCAGTGAGCTGAGAATGCGCCACTGCACTCCAGCCTGGGTAACAAAACAAGGCCCTGTCTGGAAAAAAAAAAAAAAAAAAAACCCAATATTTTATATGTACATGTATTCCTACACACATTTGTAAATACATATAAAAAGTCCGTCAAGACATACTTCTTAGAATGGCTGAATAAAAAGATTTTTAAATTTGACAATAGCAAGTGTTGGTGAGGAAGTGGAGCAACTGAAACTCCCAGACATTGCTCATGGAAATGTAAAATATACAGCCCTTTGAACAATAGTTTGGCAGTTTCTGAAAAAGTTAAACATATATTTAGCATACTTATCACAGGATCCAGCAATCCCATTCTTATTCCTTCAAGAGAAATGAAAGCATACATCCACACAAAGAATGTTCATAGTAGTTTTATTCATAATAGCAAAAAACTGGAAAGAACCCAGGTGTTTTATCAATAAGCAAATGGATAAACAAATTCTGGAACATCCTTTCAATGGGACACTTTACTCAGCAGAAGAAGGGATTAATTACTAATACATGCAATGACACAAATGAATCCCAAAAGCATTTTTTTTTTAAAGATAAGGTCTCGCTCTGTTACTCAGGCTGGAGTGCAGTGCCACAATCATGGTTTACTGCAGCCTCAATCTCTCAAGCTCAAGGAATCCTCCCACCTGAGCCTCCCAAGTAGCTGGGACTACAAGCACGCACCACCACACTGGGTTAATTTTCTAATTTTTTGTAGAGACAGATCTCACTATGTTGTCCAGGCTGGTCTTGAACTACTGAGCTCCAGCAATCCTCCATTACAGGTGTGAGCCATTGCACCCAGCCTCAAAAGCATTATGTTAAGGGAAAGAAGCCAGACACAAAAGGCTGCATACTGTAGGATTCCATTTATAGGACATTCTGGAAACAGCAAAACAATAGAAACAGAAAGCAGATGATTGGTTGACAAGGGGTGGAGATAGGGAGGAACTGATTATAAACTGGTATGAGGCAACACATTAGGGTGATGAAAATACTTCACATCTTGATTGTCCATATGGTTTCGTTCTGTGTCCCCACAAGAATCTCATCTCAAACTGTAAACCCCATAATCCCCACATATTGAGGGACGGACATGGTGGGAGGTGACTGAACCATGGGAGTGGTTTCCCCCATGCTGTTCTCGTGATATTAAGTTCTCATGAGATCTGATGGTTTTATAAGTGCTCGGAAGTTCCTCCTCCATTCCTCTCTCTCCTGCCACCTTGTGAAGAAGGTGCCTACTTCCTCTTCCACCATGATCATTTCCTGAGGCCTCCCCAGCCATGAGGAACTGTGAGACAATTAAACCACTTTCCTTTATTAATTACCCAGTCTCAGGTATTTCTTTATAGCAGTTTGAGACCAGACTAATTCAACTGTGATGGTGGATACATGACTGAATATGACTGTCAAAACTCAAAGAACTGCACACCTAAGAAAGGTAAATTATATCTTAATAACTTGATGTTAAAAGCTATTAACAGCTGTTACCTATGAGAAAACAGAACTAAGTAGGGTGGATGATTAAACGATACTTTTTTTTCTACTTAAACATATTGTACTGCTGGAACTTTTCTAACAAGCAAATAATTTAGGTACTTGACAATAATTTCATTAAAGTTTTAAATAATAACAATAATATCTATCTTGAAGGGCTGTTGTGAGATCCAAATGACATTATGTGAAAAGCATACAGCACAATGTATGAACTCAGACAGACGCAGACAGACACATAGATACATAGATAGTTACAGGTAGAGCGAATTTGTTACCTTCCTCTCACCTCCCACCTCCCCTATTCTCTTCACTCCCCCATCCTCACCCTCCCTGGCCCCTTAATGGCCCACATATTCTGAAATGACAAGGTACAAAGGCCAAAGGGCCAGTGAGGGTGACAGCCATGACTTACCTCAGTGACAAAGAGTGTGCGAGGG